AAGATTTGAAGCAATCTATGAGGAGGAAACATCACCGAAGTATCCCGAAGTGAAGCGCCACACACACACTCATCAAGGACAACATAAAGACAAGACTTGAAGCAATCTATGAAGAGGAAACATCAACGAAGTATCCCGAAGTAAAGCGTCACACACACACTCATCAAGGACAACATAAAGACAAGATGTGAAGCAATCGATGAGGAGTAAACATCACCGAAGTATCCCGAGGTGAAGCGCAACTTACCCAAGCTCCCAAATCTGTCAAAACTCAAAGTTTGAAGCACCAACACAAAGGGAAACATCACGGAACTTTCACAAGGTGAATCTCAACTCGCCCAAACTCCCAAATCAGTGAAGACTTAAAGCTTGGAGCATCAACACAAATGAAAACATCACGGAACTTTCACAAGATGAATCGCAACTCATCCAAACTCCCAAATCAACGAAAACTCAAAGTTTTAAGCATCAACACAAAGGGAAACATCACGGAACTTTCACAAGGTGAATTTCAACTCATCCAGACTCCCAAATCAGTGAAAACTCAAAGTTTGAACCATCAACACAAAGGGAAACATCACGGAACTTTCACTAGGTGAATCGCAACTCATTCCCCTCCCCTTAGATCAGCAAAAATCGCAGTTTTGACAAGAGGAGAAAGGGGAGAAGGGGGGAAGAAAAGGAAAAGAAGAAGGAGAGGAAGAAGAAGAGGAAGAAGAAGAAGAAGAAGAAGAAGAAAAAGAAAAAGAGGAAGAAGAAAAAGAAGAAGAAGAGGAAGAGGAAGAAGAAGAAGAAGAAAAAGAAAAAGAAGAAGTAGAAGGAGGAGGAGACCTTTCTCCTCTTTCATTCACCTCTTGCTGGTCTCTAGGCCGTGGGGGTCCAATGCTTGGTTCTAGCCTCCTAGGTATGGCTTCTCCTCTCTCCCAAGTTTTCTCCTCTTCCCTTATACCTCTCCTTTAGCTATGGCAGACTCCTACCTCTAAGGCTATGGAGTCCTTCCCTCTAGAAGGGCTATGGGGACCCCTTTCAGCCTCTCCTCCTACTTCACAGCCTGAGGGTTATGGCGGACCACTCTCCTTGCTCCCTCCTAGCCTCTAGGTCACCTTCCTCAGCCCTACCACCATAGCTAGGCTACAGGCTAGCTCCGGCCCTCACTTCCTTGTTTCTCTTCCACTCGGACTCTTTTCTGGACTTATTTGGGCAGCATGGGCACCTCTCGTGCTCAAATGAGAGTGGCGGCCTACACCTCCAGCTTATGTAGGCTGAAACAGGTGCACCGCCCAACCTCTAGGCCCCTCCAAGTGCCTCTAGGTGGAGCGAGGTACTTCAAAGGCCAAATTTTCGGTTTTGGCCTATCTCGGGGTACCTGAGCCTCATTTCGGCCAGGTACATGCAGTCCGAGAAACTGGTACCCTCTCAGACTACCTCTTGGCCTACCCCGGCCTCTTTTCACCTCAAAAAGTGTTGCATTTTGGGTACCGCTACCCCAAAATGCAGTCTTTACCAAAATTTGAGGGCCTAGAGGTCCGTTTTCCACCTTTTTCTCCGTCTAGGCCTCCTTTGGGTAGGCCGTTGCATTTTCCCAAGTGGCGGCACAGATCTCAACCTTGGATCTAGCTCAGATCTATGGTTCTCATCATTCCGAGTCACTCCAAGCTCCCCCTTGCTCCAAATTGAAGCCTTTGCTCCAATTTTTAATTTTTTTGATGTACCTGGCCTACACCTTGGGCGGAATTCGCAGTTTTGTGTTGTTACTTTCTTGGTTTTCCCTCCATTTTGCTGCCAACTCATTCCGGAGCTAGCCGTTTTGTGTCAGTCCACAAAAAACGGTTAAATTTCCTCCTCCGCAAGATCAAATTTCAGATCTAGGGCCCAAAATTGAGCCGGCCAACTCACATCAACATTTTCCCTTATTTTTGCTGCTTAAATTCAGATATTGCAGAGATAATGCCCCAAGGACCTTATCTCTGCAATCCGGACTGCCCTCCTAGAATCTAGGAGGGATGAGGTCATCATTGAGACATGCCAGTCCCTACCGCTGCAGTCCCAACCTGATGACACTTTTTCCTCCACTCCTTCCTCCTTCTTTGTCTCATTCCCCCCCTTTTCCTCCTTTTTTTTCTCGTTTACTGTTGGGACAAATGTCCAACAGCTATTTCTCCTCTTTCTAGCTGTTGGACCTTTCCCAAGGTCCGATTCTGCAGCCGGCATATGGCCATTGCACCTCGGACTGTAGTAGTGGCACCCCCAAGGCCAAAGGGGGCTCCTTTTTGCTGCCGCCGCCTCTAGTTTGAGGCCCCCTTGCTCCGATTTTCTCTGGCCAGCGTTTTTTTCAACTGGAGCCCTCGAAACTTCGTTTTTCTTGGCCTGGCTGGTCCAGGATACTCGGACTGCTGGCCGCCCCCCCCCTTACTGGTGCTACTCCATCTTTTCTGTCCCCTCGGCACCTCCTGACGGCGCTTAACGTTTTCATCCGGACTCCCCGGCCCGGCTGGTCCCGTCCACCTGTCGTCATGCTACTTTATTTCTGTCGTCGTCGCATTTGATCTCGGACCCTCTTGGGTTGCCTCAGGTGCCCTCCGTTTTTCCCGCCTCGCGCCCGTCTTCTCCATTCTGTCGACAATCCCTGTCGGCGGCTCTTAACACTTTTTATTCCGCCAATACCTAATCTATTAGTGGTTCTGCTGGTGCCGCCATTTTATCTAGGCCCACGCGGTCCTAGTGCCCAGGCATTCGAATTATTTGTTTTACTGGGAGTCCTAGATCTCCGAAATTTTCGCCGCTAACGGTTTAAAATTTCAACTTTTGTGAAAACTTGTGGCGGGATATTCCAAATTTTTAACAATATTTTTGAAGGGGATCTCAGTAGCTAGGCTCTCCAAATTTTTTGTCGTTAACGGCTTAAGAATTCTACTTCTCCAAAATTCGTAGGCGGGAAACTCCAAATTGTTATTGACGGGAATCCTAGTGGCCGGGCATTCGAAATTATTAGTTTTACTGGGAGTCATGGATCTCCGAAATTTTCACCGCTAACGGCCTAAAATTTCAACTTTTGCAAAAACTTGTGGCGAGATATTCCAAATTGTTAACAATATTCTTGAAGAGGATCCCTGTAGTTGGTCTCTCCAAAATTTCCGTCGCTAACGGCTTAAGAATTCTACTTCTTTAAAATCCGTAGGCGGGAAACTTCAAATTGCAGACGATTTTCTTGACGCGGGTTCCACTAGGGGATGTTTTCATTTTATTTCAATTCCATGTCGAAGAAGTTCACGCCCGTTAGCGATGCTCGTGTGGCCGTCCTTTTAGATTGAAAACTTTCAAGTGAGCCCGTGATTGACAGTCGTGTCGTTGTTTAGAGTCTTTCAGATTTGTTATCTACTTTCTCGCACCAACACGGAGTCTTCTCTTTTGTAGGCGACGCCATCGCCACTTCTAGACGCCAGATAGGTTGTTGTGTCATATCTTCCTGCCATGGATTCTTTCACCGAAAGACATACTCGTCTTGTCGTTAATATGATCACAACCCAAGGTCAGAGTAGTCGCAGGATTAAACCCGTGAGGTGGTTTCCAAACCTTTCTCAATGTAAGAAGAGTGTTGATGCCAAAAGTGTCAAGACGAAGATTGCCAGGTGGTTTCCCGACCTGCGTCAATATTCTACAAGCGGAGACGACAACCAGAACCCTCTACCACCGAAGCTCAGTGCAAATGGTGAGAAGACCACCAATGTCTGTTTGTTTCCGAAGYGCCCAYGATCGAAGACGACAACAAGAACGGTTATTGCGCCTGAGCGAGCGACAAACATGGTGAAAGGTGTCTGCACAACCGGCAAAACTAGGAGTACAATCCAGATAGAGCGCCCAAGGAAGCGTCAATGCCCAAACGCTGAAGGTGAACAATCTAGAGAGATTGACAATGTACAGGACTTTAGCGAGAACTTTGTTGTAAAAAAAAATGTGCAACAACAGTATTGTGCAAGAATTGTGTGACAACGACAATGAGGAGGGGGAATCGAGTGATGGCGATGAGGAGGAGGAGGAATCAAACGACGACGATGACGAGGAGGCGGAATCAAACGACGATGACGAGGAGGAGGAATTGAGCGAGGATGAGGAATCAGAAGATACAAACTCTGAGGACAATGAAGTTAAGGACGCATCCGAAGTTGATGTCGACATGTTTAAGAAGAGTTTGTCTGGAAAACTTTTAGGAGAAGCGAAGCAGATAGTTGCACAGGAGCTGAGAAGAGGATTGTACAGCAAATCAAGCAAGAGCGAGAAACCTCCTTACAACTTGGAAAAGCACGACAGAAACGTACGTGTGTACAACAAGAAAGCTAACTACCACGTGAACATGAAGAATGTCGAAGTAGTTTTCAAGGAAAATTGCTGCATGGCTATATGTTACACGAAATTCACGGTAGAAGATGTTTTCTACAAGCGAGAAAAATTTTGGGCGATGAAACAACTAGAGCAAGTCAACTTTCTTCTCGCAGAGATGAGGGTTGCGTCGTATTTATTGGATGATGGAGATTTAAAGGTGTTAAGAGTGACATTCAACGGCATAAAGGTTTGCACAAAAGCGTGAGAAAAGTTGTACGGATGCTCGACTACACGTGTTGCAAGGCTACACAAAGACTTCAGAGACGGACTAGTGTTGTACGAGCATGCAAACAAAGACTCAGTCGGATTATCTGCTTCATCACAACAAATTATGGTCTGGTTGCATGAATATTTTCAATTTAATATTGAGAGTATGCAGAATAGCGACCAATTTYATCTTTCAGATACTCTCCGACGCAGAGACGTGTATGATTTCTTYAAGCGATACTGCAAAGCGCTTTACACGAAGAAGACTTTTCCTTCCCGTTCCAGATTTATGACGATTTGGAGGGTTCACTGCCCCAAAGTTCTCATTCCTGCATTGAAGAGGTTCTCGGTTTGTTCCACATGTCTGAAATTCAAGACAGGTCGTTCACAGRCAACYAGTGCGTTCGAACGAGGTGATGACAAAACCTCAATGCTTATTTTCTCTCTCTTTGTCTTCCTATCTCTTCTTCTTCTCTCTCTAAGCATTCTACTTCTCTCTCTCTCTCTCTCTCTCTCTCTCTCTCTCTCTCTTTCTCTCTCTCAGTCGATTTGTCTCTCTTTACTTTATTTTTTACCATTTGTATTTACAAAAGAATCATTTGTGTTTCGCCTCAAATAATAAGTTAAAGACAATCTGGTAAACGATGTATCTCATTAAAGCACGATAGGGTTCATTTTTTAAAATTCGGCACAACGCGACCAGCTGTTCTGACTCATTCTTCAATTTATGACACAGCTTGACTGACTGTTCCGACTTATAGCCCTATAAGTTGGTCTTTACAGAAAAGTAGAAACTGGGATTCGCGCATTCAAGAAAGGAGTTTCATGAAACCATTCTTCTTCTCTCCCGAAGTCTTTATCTTCTTCTTCTTCTTTTCCCTCTCTCTCTCTCTCTCTCTCTCTCTCTCTCTCTCTCTCTCTCTCTCTCTCTCTCTCTCTCTCTCTCT